CCATGAATTTATTTATTTATGTATTTATTTCTTTTCTTTTTTTAATAATTATTTACTTTATTTATTCATTCATTTATTTCTTAATTTGACTAGAGAGAGACAGAGGGTAAGAGTGAAAGAGAGAGGAAGTGAGAAAGAAAGCCACGAGATTCAGGACTCGAACCCTGGTCAGCCATGTGGGAGTGTCCAGCACCTTAACCACCATGCCACCTGCTGGTCCCCTCTATTTATTTCTTGTGATTTTTTTTTTTTCAAGCCACCAGTTCTGGGACTGGAACCATGCGGGAATCAAAAGCCTTAACCAGGTCACGTGCTGGCCCCTACAGTGCTGTACTTCAAAGAGGTAAAGAATCTCAATATGGAGACCGGCAGATAACATAGTACTTATATTGCTGGACTCCCACATTGCTGACCAAGGTTCAAGTCCCGGACCCAGTGGCTTGAAACATGCGAGGTGTGTGTGTGTGTGTGTGTGTGTGTGTGTGTGTGTGTGAGTACCCAAGATGCCAAGAGGAGAAAGGAGGAGAATGAAGGAGAAAGGATTGTGGACATCTCTCTGGGGGATTTCTAATTTTCCCTCTCACTATCTGTTTCTTTCTCTCTAACCCCCCAAGGTGAGTGCACACCCTCTCAGGCAAAAACCTCTTAAAAAGTAAAGTATCTCTGGGGGCTGGCAGGTGGGTAAGGTGCTGGACTCCCACATGGCCAACAGTAGTTTGAGTCCTGGACCTAGAGGTTTGCTTTCTCTCTCTCTCTCTGTATGTGTCTCTCTCTAGAAACATTAAAAAATAGTAATAAATAAAGTTAAATAAAATATCTCAAGTTTATGTATCTTTCATGGTGGTACGAAGAGTTGAACCTATCACCCCCTCAAAGCTAGTGGCACAAGTAAAACAACAAACAAACCACATAGAAAACAAGGATGGTACACGAGCCAGCAGAAGCTCTCTGTGTGTGACGACTCCAGAAATGCTCCCTGGTTCTAGAATTGTGTAATGGCCTGTAAATAAACATTCGAGCAAGAAAATGTGCAGCTAACGCTTTCCTTGGAATCATTCTAATGCCATTTACAAATTTCTTTTCTTTGTTTTAGGGCCTTTCAATAAGTCCTTCCTATATTAGGACATGAACTTTGATTATGTTTTGATTTTAAGTCTTAACAATATTTAAGGGCAGATCCATGTTTTTATACCTTTTCTGATCTGAAAAAGTGATTCAATAAAACAATTTATGGCTGCTAGTTTTTTTTCTGTCAAAACGATTGGCAATATTCACATTATTGATAGGAGAAAGACTACAGTTAATATGAAACATTTCCCTCATTCTGTCATTGTGAATGATCTTTTCTTTATAATAGTTCTGGCTTTATGAGATATCATTTCTAAATACTCAGCAATGATTAAGAGCAGTTTTGGAGATAAATCACTTCTTTCCCATCTTCCTATTAAAAAAGTTATAAACTCTTCGATTTTTTTCCATTAGAAATTCATCTAGTTTCATTCCAAAAGAATGTCTTAAGACAATTATTTTATGAAAATTGTTTATTTTTATTTTAGTTTTGACAGCTATGCCTAATATTATTCATAAAGTCTGCTAACCATGATTACATTACCAATTGTACCCAGTAATCATATTTAAAATGTGTTTATGCTGGGAAATAATAATACACTCTTAAATTATCTTAATTTTCAAAACAAATTGGCAGTCATATTTTAGCATAATACGTCTTATTAAATAATAGACAATTCCATTATCATATTTTTATCATTAATACGTTAATCTTTTCAATCTTCTTGTTATAAATTTATTATAATACTTTTTGTAAGATCTGACCCAATACATTTGATTATAATTAAAATATTGACATTTGCTCAAAAAAAGATAAAAGATTTATTTTTCAGAACCAAGCTGAATATTATAATGGTTATGTCACTGGACTCCCACATGTCAACTGTGTTTCAAGTCCCAGAAACAGCATCTTAAAACACTGGGCACATGTGCGTGTGTGCCCAAAATCATGAGAGAATGGAGAAGAATGGATTAGAGTGTGGTCACCTGCCCTTGGGATAATTCCTCACTTTGTGTTTCTCAGTCTCTCTCTGTCTCCCTGGTGAGCGCAATCTGTATATATAAAATATAGCTATGTCTATATCTAAAAATCTCTCCTACAAAAATAAAGAGAAATTTATTTTTCAACAGAATGGCCTTGGAGTGAAAGTAAATCCAGACTTAAATCTAATGTAAGCTCTGAAAGCACAGCCATATTTAACCAAGCTGTCATGAAGTTGAGAAGAAATCATTAAATACAAACCTCTGAAGTTATCTGGAATCATGGTAGTTTGTATTTTCATTCTTAGTTTGGGTCTGACTGCAAATATATATATATATATATATATTCCACTTTTGAATCCCTTAACCCTTCTCTTCCTCATAGAATTCTGACACTTCCAGAATCTATAAATTGCTTAATTATGTTAGTTATGACATAAATGTTTTTAGGGAGTCTATGAATCTTAGAAGATCAGTAAAGGAGAATATTTCCTCATTTTTTTTTTTTTTTGGAGAGATTTTCGCTATAGGGCGCGTGCGCTCGCCAGACAGACAGAGAGAGACAGAGAGACAGAAAGTGAGAAATCACCCCCCGGGGGGATGGTCACGCCGCAATCCCTTCTCCTCCATTCTCCTCTTGGGATCTTTGGCTCGCACACACACGCGGCCGGCGTGAGTTTTAAGCCACCGGGTCCGGGACGCGAACCGCGGTCGACTACGTGGGAGTCCAGTGACATAGACATTACGCTAATTGCTGGTTCCCAATATTTTTTTAAGAGAGCTTTTTGCTATTGACGTGTGTGCTCGCCAGAGAGACAGAGAAACAGAAAGCAAGAAATCAACCCAGAGGGAATGGCTACACTAATAGCTTCTCCTGCAGAATCTTGGGCATGCATACACACATGCCTGCCATGAGTTTTAAGCCACCAGATCTAGGACTTAAACTGTGGTTGACTATGTGGGAATCCATAGTTGTGACCATTATGCCATCTGCTGGTACTGAATAAATTGGAATATTTTCTAATACCACTCTGAACATTAAGAGCCATGGCTAACATAGCAGTGAACAGAAATAGACCTCAAAAAGATTTAAAGAGATTAAATGCACAAGCATAGATAAAATGGCTTTAATCAGCACATACAGAAAACTACAATGAAATGAGATGGGGTAGTGTGTAACACCAATAAAAGAACGGGGATAATAACTAAAAAAATCTGCTTCTTTTTGTTTCTTTTTTGGTGTATTATAGAAGCTAAAAATTGTATTGAATAAGCACTGAAAAAAGAACCCCTAATTAGTGAGCAGAGGAAAACCCTCATTAACCTCATTAACCTGTATAAGGGAGTGATCAATAAGAGTCACAAAACAGAATAGTTATTACTGAGTGTTGTGCCTAACTTCAATACTTGGTTACTAGAACTATTAGTCTTCATTAAAAAATGTTACTTTATGACAAAGGAAACAAAAATATAAATATACTAAATTTTTGTCTTTAAATTAATTTTATGGAAGATCAATTCACAATGGCATTAATCAGAACAGCTTTAACATATTCTCCCGTCATTATGAATGAATTCCTACTTTCTGCCTTCTATTGTGTTTCCTGTTAAGGGCTTCCTTTCCACTGATGACTGTGACACTCAATGATTTCCTAGTCTCTTGTCTAGTTCCCTAAGCACCATCCAATGAAAAATAATAGATACTGCTATACACGAGTCAATTTTTAGTATATGTGCTGCCGAAGCGAGCACGACGAGTCAATTTTTTTATGAAGTTAGTATTACAACTCCAAATGAAACCCATCTTAGAACATGAGCAATTTGCCTTATGTTTTCTTGACATTTCACCTATACTATGAAGACTTACACACAGAATAGCTGTTAACTTCAACACTTCGGAAATAACTGATTAGTATATAAACAAAAATGTCATTATTTTCTGCTAATTAACTAGTTATGAATATGCATCAGTCATGTGGTTAAATTTAGCCTAAAAGTTACATACGTATATGATTTCACTGTCCATGTCTTCTTAATACATGAAAACACTTAACAGTAAAAGGTTCCTAGTCCATCTCTTCCATTTGACCATCCTATACTAAATATGAAGATTAAATGTCTACTTCAAATATAAAGTAGAAATTAGTGAAAAAAAGAATCTAATAATTTTGCTTATTGTTTTATTTTGTGGAGGTCTTCTCAAGCCTTGCACTGGATTTCATCTTTAATACATGAACTCATCTCTCAGCCAATATATTGAACTGTGAGTAAATAACTATGTCTGACTTTCCAATGGTGTTTGGTAGCTAAATCTGGAATATTTTCAATAGTTAATTATTATCACTTATTTGATAATTATAACTACATATTCTAACCTTAAGGGAACTAGATTTCTAGAAATATGAAGCCTATATTCTTTTATAAGAGTAATGTAATTACATCCAGTTATTTGAACACTGTGGGCAAACAAAAATTCGACAGGACAAAGTAGTACTGAGAGAATCTTACATTTCAAAAGTAAAACAAGTCTACCCTGGGAGAGGGCCCTTTTTCTATTTGATCCAGAAAACAACAGAATCAGAAAGAGGTTAGGAAGAATGAAAAATAGAAAGGGACAAATCTTAATGATAACTTGGGCTAGGATAACTTTTTAAAAAAGCCTTAACATTTGTATAACTAATAATACTTAGAATACTATTTATCCTAGGCAACTGTTACCCTGGAAATATTTGTTCACTTACTAACAAAAGTAAATGGGAGAAATTGAAGCAGGTGTTCATAGAGGTATTCGTTATCAATAGACATACTGAATCTAAGGACATTCTGGTCCTAAATTTTCCCCTGAAATGCTTTGCCAAGTGCAGAAATTGAAGAATAGAAAATTATGTACAGCTAGGGAACATGCTAAACAATATTGAAATGCATAAAGTAATTAATTATTCATTACTTACAAAAGTTGTATTTTCCAATAATAATGTGGTAGCATTTGTTTCTATATTCAGTTTAATGACATGTCCATTCTCGCTTTTATACACCACATCTGTATCTGCAACAACAAAGACATTAACGATTGACAAATACATTCACTAGGTAATATAATAACTATAGGGGAGAAAATATGCACAATAAACAGACAGGATAGAACAATCATCGTTAGCCTTCAATAACCCCAGCAGATTTCTGTACTTGGCTCACATTAATTCTCTTAAAGATGAGGAAGCCTGCCTAACACATGGTCTATTGTGCAATGAACACAGGGTTAGTGAAAGGGCCACTTGGATTCATGGTTTAACAAATAAAAATTAATTAAAATATGGGCAATCTGCTGCCCATTCTGAGGTGAAGAATGCAGGACAAAGAGAAGTGTCTTTGGCTTCCAAGATAAGCTACAACTGATGAGTGATCTAATTTTCTCACTCACAGACAGGCTGCCCGTAAACTGACTCTACGCATTTCTAAGTCTACTCATAAAGAGTCACACTTATCCACACTTACTCATGTATCCAGTCCTTGTACCATCACTCAATTCCTACTCAACCTTTTCCTCTTTGGGGCTGAGAATTTTATCTTTGGAATTGTATCTGGTTTGTGTGGTCACAGATCAAAATAGTTTGCCCACACTGGGAGAATGCTATTGTCATGTAAAATAACTGCATTGTTTGTGAGTGATTGGTTTTACATACTTTCAAGTTAAACTCAGTCAGATTTCTTAGAAAATCAAATAATCTTAAGACTTGTTAAGACCAAAAATATGAATTTCAGGATAAACTAACACAAAAGGCATAAAGATACTTGGAAGTTAAAAAGATACTGCCACACACACAAACGTGTGTGGAAGAGTCTGAAACTTCTGGCAGAGCAAGATTTTCTGATTTCCTTTTCTAGTTACTTTTGTATTATCAATAGTAATACCTAAAATTTGTAAGATGAGAAGTGATCAAAACTTGCAAAAAGGAATGTTTTACTTCAGTGTTTTATTCAAAAACTGAGTTTCTTCTCTGACATTCCTACTAGTGTCAAGTATGACAGAAAGCTAATAATTTTTCTTGAACTTAAGCACATGGAGGAAGTGACATATTGAAACTGATCTGTTGGACAGGGAAATAAAATAGCATTTTGAGAAATGAGGAAAAAGGCCTAGCTATAGTGGCACAGGCAGTAGGGCTGCTACTGAGAGATGCTGGAGACCATGTGTGAAGTCTCAGTGTTTGCATTCAGGTCCACCTGAGGGTACATATTCCCAGGGCCATGCCTGTGATCCCACCTGGCTGCAGGGCTTGGAGGAGGATCACAACACGGAGACCCTGTAGTGGGTTCTTGCTTCTCTCTCTCTCTCTCTCCTTCTCTCTCTCTCTCTCTCTCTCTCTCTCCTTCTCTTTCTTTCTCTGGAAATAAGTAAATAAATGTTTAAATAAAGAAAGAAGGAAAGATATTTACAAAAAGGGATAAGGCAGTTATTCCCTGAGCCTGACTATACAGCATGAAAGTGATTCCTATGTCATCATTAAAATATAGATTTATGGGACCAGCAGCTGGCATAATGGCTGTGTCGCTGAACTCCCATGTAATCAACCCCGGTTCGAGTTCTGGACCCAGTGACTTAAACTCATGCCAGGCATGTGTGTGTGCATGCCCAAGATCTTGAGAGGAGAATGGAGGAGAAGGGATTGCCATCCACCCAGGGGGGGATTTCTTGCTTTCTCTCTCTCTGTTTCCCTGTCTCTCTTTCTAGAGAGTGCATGTGCCCTATAGAAAAATACCTCTCCAAAATATAAAAATAAAAATATATAGATTTGTATAGAATTCTGAAATTTTGTCATTAGCTATAAATAAATTGAGTTTATTTTATTATTAATTTTACCTATTGTCCTTTATAGTGATGAAGAACAATGACAGTTTTACATAAACAATGTTTATTTTGAGTTTTGTTTCCTGCCTTTCTTTCTTTTCCATCCCATATTTATGATGACAGCTCAATAGCAGTACCTATCTCCTGCAATAGTCACTTCTTCTTGCAAACTGGTTTGGTCTTCTGTCTTGTTCTCAATTAATGCTTGCTCAAATCAATAGGCCAATCCTATTCTTGGTTCTACTCCCCATTACCTCTCTTGATATTGTCAACTCTGGGCCCCTTTTGATTTTTTTTTATTATCATCATAATCTTCTTTATATTACATTGGATTACATATAACTTTACAGTGTATTACATTGCTTTTTCAAAAGGGAATGCCATGCAAGTCAGTCAGTACAAAGACATTAATCTCCCCGCTTCAACATTCAATATCTTTTCTATGTTTTCCCCAATCATTATTATTATTATTATAATTATTTTTTTAAAACAGTCAATCGCTATTTCTCATTTTGCTTGTAAAAATACTTTGCCCATCATGAAATACTTCTCAGACCAATCCAGTTGAGAATACTATACATGTCATCACCAACAGTTAATAAGCCATATCTGTTTCTCACTAACGTCCTGCCTCTCTATTGTTCACTTGCTATCTTTCTCTATCCTCTTCTCTTCACTTCCCCCATTCCACACTGTCCTATTCTCATTAAATACCTTCACTGCTTTTATGTCCTCCAATTTTTTGCTCTCTATCATAGAGTGTGGATAGTCGGTATATATTGAGTGGATACATACAATATCTTTCTTTCATAGCCTGGCTTACTTCACTCAGCAATAGATCCTCCATATCTGACCACTTTCTATCAAATTCCAGGGTCTTGTTATTGGCTCCTTTTGATTTTGATAAACATGTAATTATAGATTAACAAGATGAGCCAAAGAGTATGCACTAACAAAATTATCCTTATAAAATATTTCTTAATAAATTAAGAAAAAATGAATTTTCCCCTTTTCAATGCACCATGAAGATAAAGATAGCAGAAAGACACTCAATGAGTGACCCTTCTTTCTGGAGGCAAGTAAACACTACAGAATCATAAATAGGGATGAAGTCTATGATCTTAAAGACAAAATAGAACTCAGAGGGCAGTTTTAGTCTAACTGGTAGTTATTGGTCAATGGAAGAGAGGAAGTCACTCATAGCCCCATAGTCTCTCATAGTAAAAAACAAACAAACAAATAAACCCCCCAAAACAAACAAACAAACAAAACACCCAGTGAGTTATTACTAAATCTAGAAAAAAGAAATCTTGTCATTATTTCACTGAGGATCAAAATAGAAGAATGAGAAGCTTGTTTGAGAAGACAAATACTACACTTGATATTTTAGTCAGTTTTTTAGGACTATTATATAAACTTTAAGAATATCTACAGATATTTGAGATTTGCAGATTCCTTTATATATACACTCCTGCAAATTTTACTATTAGACTCAATATTGCATTAGTAGAATAAACTTTGTGATCTAAGCATAATTTCCCCAGCCAAGTGCTTACCAGGCTGACTCTACATAGCTTCTGAGATAATACGAGATTGGGCACAGCCAGGGTGGTACGACTGTAGATTCCAGTGTACTTCTCCAGTTTAGAATGTTTCCATGCATTATTTTGAAACCATCTAATGTCTCTCTTTATTAATTCTCTTTATTTTTTTTCCTGTTTTTTTTTTTTTTTTTTTAACATCTTGTTAATCTGGTCTTTTGGGTTATTTATTTATCCTACTGTGCTGTTTGATTTATAATCACTAGTGGAATCTCCCAGTTTTAAAACTCTTGTTACTAGATTAATAAATTATATTCTGGAACTACATTTCTAAACTGTCTTCCTTGTATTTTGTTTAATATTAGGTAATGAGATATGAGTGAATCAGATCAATGAGTAAAATGCATTAGCATAGAAAAATCAAGACAGGAGTTCTTGAAGCATTCTTAAAACACAGCATTATTCATGTCTATATGGTACTCTGATTAAATAATCTTTTCTTTTTCAGCTCATTGAAAGTTAAGAGCCAATTATACCGAATACATATTCAGCTCAGTTTTTTAAAACAAAAATGTATGGCAAAATAGAATCCCTGTCTAATCTCTCCATACTATAATCCAAAGGTGTTTTTCAGTATGCAGTACCTTAGATGATTATTAGCATCATTTCTGTTCTACTCTTTCGTTCCCCAACATTGTAGCTAACAGGAAGAAAATATAGTATATTCGGTTTAAGATCTTTCAGGAAAATGCAACCTTATTTTTTTATACTCTTTTACCCAAAGCAGATAGCAAAGCTTTTGTGGTTTAGCTCTCAATGTGGTGTTGACATGAAGAAATGAGACCTCTGTCTCCTCAGTAATTATCAGAAACAAGAACTAAGGCGGCCTACATCCACAGGAATTTACTATCTGTTCCAGGTAGTTACTGTCAGTGAGGCTGAGGCTGTAAACCAGCACAAAATCATTTTTTTTAGAAACTTGTGGAAAATGTATGTATTGAAACCATAGCTCCTCAGACTGGACAAATTGGTCAGTTGCCAATACACTTGACTCTCTACACCTACAAACCCTAAATGATTACATCTTGAAATATACCTAGTCAGAACCAAATCCTCACATAGAAATAACCATCTTAGCCACTAAAACCCAAATCTTTAATCCTGTCATATTCTACTTCCAATCCCTTTTTTCTGGACACTATAAGACTTTTTAAAAATATTGTCTTTCCTGGTTGCAATAGGTAATAAATTCAGTTGTGCTTAGTAGGTTTTCCTGGGGGTGGTAGTGTCTTCTGGGAAGTCAACAGTTGACAAATGAACTTTCTATGTATTTCAATATAAAAATCACCTTATTGGCTGTTGTTTGTGTTACTATAAAAGATGTAAATATGTACTTAATTTTGACATAATACTTTGCTTTCAGTGCTTCAAAGTTAAAGTTAAATTTATCAATTTATCTATACACTTCTTAAAATACAGAAAAAACATCTAGGCAAATTATTTTTTGGAAGATATTTTAATCCAAACATGGTATGATCTTCATTTAAAATATTCTTTTTTTTTTGGAGAGGTTTCTGCTATAGGGCACTACGTGCGCTTGCCGGAAAGACACAGAGAGACAGAAAGTGAGAAATTACCTGCTGGGTGGATGGCCAT